CTTCCTCTACCTCACTCAATTTCTCTTTCTTCTGTGAAATAAAAATGCATTTGCAGTGGCGAGTATGACAGCAGTAGAATTTTTCACTCTGCGCTGTTCTCTATTCAATTACCTCCTAATAATGCCCAAGTGTGAAAATGTCTCCCCCCATGTGCGTCTGAGACCCCGCTGCATCCTTTTCACGCTCTCTCCACCACTTTTCTTTTTTTTTTTTTTTAATTGCCTCAGAATTGCTGTCGAATGCACAGGTAACTGAGAAAGGACTTTTGAAAGCAGCTCAATGCTTTAAAAAGACAGCTTGTCCTTGGGCAGACGGATTACTTGTAGTTCTAATGAAACCTGATCAATCCAGACAAGACAAGGACCCTGAGTCATCACTCACTCCAGGCTTGTGGGTGCCAGCCTCACTTTGTATATTTATGCTTAAAGACGTGAATAACAAGCATTTTTAATGCTTTTATTTGTTCAAGTTTTTAATCTATACACCTTGATTTGATATCTAAGTAGATTAACTTCAGAATTATTACAATACGTGCTACAAACCCAAGACAAGCTTTGCATTACTGTAGGAAATTACTAAATTCTTATGTTTCAAGTACTTTAAACATATTTTGCATGTTATATATTGATAAAATTCATCCTATATTTTGTCAGTTGACTTGTTTTAAACATGTCTTCCAGTTGAAAATCCACATTTGTTCAAGATTCAGAATACTGAGTTTTCTGTTTGCATTAGGACATTAAATAAGCAACTTTTTGCTTTACGAAATTACATTCATACATCTTAGTCCTATCTTGTAGTAAATGCAAACATATTTGCATTATTACCTCTCATTCACTGTACAAAGACGGAGGCAAAATGCATATTTTATTTAAAAGGATGTGTGAATTTGGCATGTTGAAAAGCCATAAGCAAACTGCATCTTGTAAATCTAAGAAAGCGTGATATGTTTCAGCTTTGTTTACGTGCTCATAATGGAAAAACACAAATATCTGTAGGAGATTCAGTGTTGTCTATTAGACGCAATATATGTTTATCCCCCAAACATGCAACCCCCCCACACATTTGTTTTTCTGTCTTTACAGGGACTTTGCATTGATTTCCATTAATTTTTCATTCATTTCTATAGCCTAATCATGACCCTTACCCTAAACACAACCATTACCAGTACTTACCAGACCCTAAACCTAATCATTATCAGTACATACCTAACCTTAAACCTAACCATTACCAGTACATACCTGACCCTATACCTAACCATTACCAGTACATACCTAACCCTAAACCTAA